TGACAGTTTCTTCAAGCACCAAGGGGCAGGAAAGAAGGAAGGATAATTAATTGCACCCAACCTCAGTATGACATCCTTCACACAGAAAACTGCTATTCACCTTTCCCTACTATTATTTCCACCAGATCCACAGGGGGAAGCTAACATCCACCACATCAGGGCTACGAGCAAGAGGTGATGGCCTAGGTAGCCCTGAGTCCAAGCATGGCTGGACAGGAGAGGGAAAGGAGGCAAAGGAGTGACTACTGACCTTCCCACCAAACATGGTGGCACAGCATGGAGAACAGAAGGCAGCAGCAGCACATGGTGGCTGCTTGGGGCAGTTATTAGCCACCATTCCTAGGACACAGTACAACCTGAAACAGGTCCGTCTCTAGCACAGCTCTGGCTCTCATGTATATAAACACAAACACACCCCATGAACGCCCCTGATAGCAAATGCCTCCAAATAGGAGGAAGTGCATGTGGTTTTCCATTGCCTCCTGCTCTGGAGGACCACCAAGCTGAGAATGCACTCAGAGGTGGCCCAAGGTTTACTGGGAGGAAGCAGGCAAGGAAAGGATATATATAAACTCACAACTTCATCTCCAAATCATAAAGGCCAAAATCAAACAAAATTTCACTGGCTATCAGGATGTCCTAAGTGCATTTATCTCTAGCACTATCTGCCTTTTATTAATGTGAGTTCTGCCTAATACATAAATGACACATAAATGACTGTACCAAAGACCGGCCATGCTGACTGTGCAGATTGACTTCACAAGACATTTAATACCAATTCAACCACAGTATCTCCTGCACAACTTGAGCCACAGGCAACACTCAGAGAAAACTGCCTCAGGGCTGATGGCTACACTTCCTCTAGACTACAAATCCTACACATAATTAAGCAACCAGTAACATGGGCAAGCAACAAAGAAGATCTCTTGGCCTAAACCTTAACTGCAGCAAATGACATGGCCATGGCAGAATTTGCCTTCCAGCTGGCATATCAGCTCCTGGTAACTTGTGCATTTTCTGAAAATTTCTAAAGCAAGACATAGATAATTTTTCACATGAATTTAAACAGTTTTAAACAGAGGAACCAATTCAAAGCAATAAAACTTAACTTTAATTTTCTTTCCTTACTTGCTTGGAGTTCCCTTTATTATACAGAAAGAAAATCCTTTAAAATCCAATTCACTTTTTGCTGCTGGCTCTTAATCTTTGATTTCTGTATTGCTTGGACATGATAAAGCAGCATGGTCAATCACCTTTCTACATTTTCACACATCCAAGAACCCAACTTGCTTCCACACAATATTATTTAATAGAAAAAATATTTGACCACCTTGTAAAAAAATCTAAGTTTTGGGCTTGCTTCCTCTTTTTAGTCAAAAAGTAAACTAAGAGTGTCCTCCAGCTGATTAGGTCATATCTGAGCCTCACTGGAACACGAATTCAGAAATCACAAGTGTAATGAAAAAGCAGCAGCAGCAGAATCAAGCGTTTGAAACTTGATCAATTCTCCTCTTGCCAGATGACAGAATTCAAGGCCTTATGGTTTGATTTATAGCTATCCAACACCCATACGCATTCATACGCACACACTGCATGTTTCAGTAATGATGGCATTGTTCTGAATCTCCTCATCTCAGCACAGTTTCTCTGTGCTCCCACCCAAATGTAAGTAAGGAAACTTTGACCTTGTTAATCTAGAAAGAATCACAGAGGCAGAAAGCAAGAGCCGGCGGCAGGATCCATTTCCCTCTTATCTGTAATTCATACAGCTAATCAACTTCTTTCAGTCCCACATACCTCAGGGAAAGCCTCTTAAGGACAAGTCCAGTAATAGTTAACTTTACCTGACAGACTTAAGGGAAGACCCCTTCTCCACTTCATTTTAAGGGAGAGCGCTCACTGTAGCCACCACTTGCCCTCCGGATTTGGTAAGCGGTGGTCCTTCAAAAGTTTGATCTCAAAGATGCTGTGTAATCCAGTGTCCCTCAGATTAATTTAGGCATTGCTACACTTAAGGAGGCTGACCTAAAATCTACTTACAGATAGCCTGCTACAGCAGAATACAATCTGAGGGTTCTTATTTCCCATCAGAGAATGAGCTAAGTATAAACTGCAGCTTTTGCCCTCTTCTGGCATATGCCAATGAGCATTTCTTTTTGGCAGTAGCATACATGCATAGCCACAGTAAAACTCAACACTATCTTAGATGTTTGCATGAGGCTCCAATTCACATGCTTCCTTCTTGAGCCAAAAAGCTTTTGTGACTTCCATGAGGAAGGTTCAAGTTTCACCTTTCCTAAGTAAGGGTCTGACCAGCAGGCTGAAGTGGGAAGCACAAAATCTTTTGTTGCCTTCAGGCTACGCATCCTTAGCACTGCACACTGAGCACTGTTTCCCTTCTATTTCTTCTCTCTTACCCAGGGTTTTGTGGACCCCCAGTTTCCCCTTCAGCACATAGGGACACCTCGTGGTAGATTCCCCTCAGTGGCAAAACATTTAAGAGGCAGGCTTTAAAGCATCCAGCCAGGCAGAACTCCAGCTGTTTGGTGACCCAGTGTTTTCATACAGCCTTGTACTGCACAATGCAGTCACCAGACACTTGAACTTCATCCTCTAAACCTGCAAAATTTCCCCAAACACCCCATGCACCTGTCCTTCTGAACTAGGGATGACCCAAACTAGATAGCATTTGCTGGAAAAGTAATATTGTAGCTGCCTGCACAGCAACAAAGAACTGGCAACGTGCAGCACCTGACTTGTGTTCATTGAGCTTAAGTCCAAAGGGTGATTATCAAAACTAGCCTCATGTGTTTCCAGTCCAAAACTCCATTCCCAGAAGACCTAAACAGTCAAAATGAAACCTGACAATGAATAAAGGCAGCTTGCTGGCCTACATGGTTAGGCTGACAAGACTCATCTCCTTGTTTATTAGTTTGATTTAATTACAGAATCATAGAATGGCCTGGGTTGAAAGGGACCATAATGATCATCTAGTTTCAACCCCCTCTGTGGGTAGGGTCTCCAAACACATAGAAGTTAAAACTAATATAACTTCAAAATAAATTTCTCTCCATTTAGCCCCATATCCCCTGTGGATTGGAAACTGTTCCCAGCAGCCTTCTGACATAGAAGTGAAAGACGCATTGTGTATTAGGTAGGGACATTGCTTTGACCACACAAAGGTCCAACCTGTGCTCCGGGGCATCTTCTCTGGGCTACAAATTAAGCACCCAGAGCACATCTGTTTTCTGGACTACCTTCCTCATCATCAGTCTGTTCTACAGGAATGTACGTGGTCCTGCCGAATGTAATCTGTTTTAATGCAAGGGAGCAACTATGTGGGTATGCTCTGACTTTTCTAAGACAAACAGAAGTTTTCTATCAGCAGGAAGGCAAATGGAGCACTTGGGCTTATTCTCTGGTACCCCAAATATATTAGCCTCTCACTGATGGTCCTTAAAGCCTCCTTCTTCAAGATCTGGGTGAAGCGTGGTAGTACATATTACACTGTAGATAGAAGTCTCACAGAAGACTGCATCCACGCAGTCGACATTCTTCCTTGCTTTCCCTGGAGAAATTAGTTTGAGGGACAATTTAGGAGAGTAACTTGCCTGGCCCATCTCCGAGAAAAGGCCAGATTCACAGCTGATCCTTCCCCTTATCTGCTTGTGGTTGAATTCAGCCAACCAGGAACTTCTGTTCTTTTAATAGGGAAGAACATGTGCTTACAATCAAGCATGAGGACATTAATGTACATTAGCTGGATTAAGTGGTTTAGCAGGCTAAGGCAGAAGGTGCTTTTGAATTAGGGCATCCCTATTCCACGGCATTTAATACACATTAACATCCTTTCGGATACTGTACAGGGAGACTGGGTACAAAGATTTCCTTTCTCTGATGCCAGTTGCAAGTCTGTACAATTCTTTTGATGGCTCAAGTGATTAGGCGTTAACAAGAGCAACCTAGGCACTTAACACTAGGGAGTTTTAGCACCAGGTTCACACCTCCTCCCTCTTCCAGCTCAGCTAAAGTATTTTTCTCATTCCCCACTAATGTTAACAGCAGGTACTTAAAGCAATTAGCCATTATCGCCTCTCTGGTCTTTATTACTTCCTAGCTTCGTATCAGCTACTTTGTACGCAATAAAAGAGCTGAATTAACAGGACTGGTGCAGACTATTTTGCTTCCTTTCTTAATTCTGTATGAAAACACTGGGTCATAGAACCACATGGACAGGCTGTGAGTGCAGTGCTTTAGTCCATTACTGCCAATTGCCATGGTATTTTACGAGGAGAAAAACCACAGGTAGCAAAAAAACAGATATAGGGAGATCATAGAGAAGGTGACATAGGGAATACAGGTAGACCAAGGGGACGTAAATACTGTAAGAGTTGCACAAGTCCAGCAGAACAGCTTGCAGCTGTGGCTATGCTTTGAATTAGCTGCCACATAGACCTGCAAGTTGCACAGGAAGCCTAAGGACGCAGGTATGATGTGTTGTTCATTTGAGAATAAAGCCCCATATCTACTGAGTAGCTCTTGATTGCGTGGGAATAACTGTTGTAAAATTTTCATGTGGGGATATCAAGAATTTTTTCTACCCTCTTTTTTTTACTTTTTTTTTTTTTTTTTTTTTTTTTTTTTTCCAAAAGGAGGCTTTCCCATATTTGCCCAGCCAGTTAAAAGCTTCCCCCTTTCCTCTACCTCAACTCACCATTAACCCATAGCATGAGTATAGGACCTCATAAAATGAAATATTTTCCCCCTGTCCCCTGCAGTATTTCTAAGCCTCACTTTGTTATTCCCAAGAGGGAAGGGACAAAAGACTTTGAGACCTTACATCCTGCTGTCGGTTCTTGCCTGAAAGAGGTAAGTAGGGAAATTGAAGAAAAGCTGAAGAAAGGAGCCTGTCCCTTGTCAGCATTCACCTGTAATGGGGGCAAAGTGTGAGGTTAAACACCAAAACTAGACTGAGGATCAAGAATGAATAGGGTACTTACACAGTTTCATCATTCTTGAACTCCAACTCCCCGTAAGTGTCTTCAAAGTCTTCTCCACCTCCTTTTGCTGTCCCTTCTACTGTCCTAAATGGCACTATGACTGTACCCCGAGCACCTGATGTCCTTAGAACTTTGACTTCCATCACACCAATGCTCTCGCTGACATGTATAACATCACACTCAAATGTGAAGATGCCAGCATGGTCATCATCCAAGATAGTCACTGTGGCCACACAAGGAGAAGCCAGTATGGCCTTTGGGTATGGGGAGTTACCGAGCTCTGGAGGTTCTTCACTGTCCACCACACGGAGGTTACTGAGCCGCACAAAGAAATGTTCATCCTCCTCAAAGATGTCATCATCAATAATTCCCACTGCAAAGTCCTTCTGGGTCTCCCCTGATTTCAAGACAACAGTCCCCTCTGTGAACTCATAGTCAGCACCAGCATTGGCAGAGCCATCCTCGGTTTTGTAGTCTACATAGATGGTCTTGGACACATCCCCTCCTTTCCGAACCACAGTCAGGAGAACGGCACCACAGTTCTCAAGACACTGATAGGAACACGGGTCAAAATAAATTTTGGAGATGAATTCCTCAGGCTCATCCGGCCGCACCTCATGCAAGCTAGTGCTCTTCTTGGCTTGCTCAGCTGCATGCTTCTTCAGAATATTGCCAGCCCCTGTCATCATTCTGGTAGCCTGAATGCGATAAAAGGCTCTGCTCTTCTGCTGATGTGACAAGGCATAGTAGTTAGCCATTTCTACCAGCTGATCCAGATCCTTTTCCGGGTGTTTTTGCTTCAGATCCTTAAGGATCCGGATCATCTCTTTGCGAGATTCATCTACCTCTTTCCCCTCCACAGTCACTAAGTTTCCATCCAGAAAATGGGAGTTCATCATTTTGCCATCCATCTCAATTCCCTTAGGGTGATCACCTTCTGATTCTATGATGATGCCCCTGTGCTTGTCAGTACGGTACTTTTTGTGCATATACTTATAGAAAAGCAGGCGTCTATCTGCTATCCAAGCCAGAAGAACACAAAGTGGAAAGAAGAAAAGTGTGAGCAGACCTTCCCAGACCTGAACCACACCTGGAGAGAAGACAGCAAGGATCATGTACAACCAGATGTAAGCAAAGATGCTCCATGCAGCTGTGACAAAGAAAACTCTCAGGTGTTTTATCTTTCTGGTTTCCCCATCAGGGATCACGTAGACACAGATAGCAATGATGATAAACATATTGAAGGCAGCACTGCCAACAATTGTAGATGGCCCCAGGTCTCCAGCTATGAATCCATGCCCACACACTTCTATCAGAGACAGAAGGATCTCAGGAGCAGAGGAGCCCAGAGCCATGAGGGTCAAGTTGGAAACAGTTTCATTCCAAATCCGAATGGTTGTTGTTGTGGTCTCTCCATTAGGTTTCTTAATCGTGATTTCTTTTTCTTGTGATGTAATGACCTCTATAGATGCCATGAATCGATCTGCAATGATGGAGACTCCAAGGAACATGTAGATCAGTGCTACAAAGTATACAATAACACGGGCAATTTTGTCCCCAAGGGATGGGTTTTCTGGGTACCATATTGGCAGGATAACACCTTCCTTGCAGTCAAAAGATCCTGAACACGAGCTGTTTTGTACTGAACTGGTTGAGTCTCCCGTCAGGCCAGCATCCACCTGCAAACCATGCAAAAACAGCACAAAAGTAACCAGCCCAAAATGGAGGAAGGCCGAGGTGAGAGGCTGCAAGCTTAACCACGCCATACACAAGATGCAACTTCCACTGTGTAGATCCAAAAGGGCCGAGAACCTGAAACAAACAAAACAGAGAGGGGGGAGGGAAGCATGAGAGAAAAGGAAGATGTAACATTTATCCAAATGCACTTCAGTATCTCACCATGGAAGAGTACTGGTAGAGATGCAAAGGTTGTCTCTCTCTGTCACTTTGAAGAAGACATTTAGCAGGGACTATAACAAACTGCAGCATTTACATGCCCAGCAGATGAGGATGAATTGCTAGAAAACTAGCTGAGAGGAAAACTATGCAACAGCCCACAATTGACCTGCAGCATATGCCATAGGAATACTGCTAGCTCAGCTGTCACTCTCCTAATGATGCCACCATGTTTCCCGGAATGCTGTGTTTAAGCTCAACACAAGAAACCTAATCTGAAGGTAACCCTGTCTCACCTTCAAGGGGATAAAATAAGTCAAGGAATCACTGGAACGAAAGGAACATAATTTAAGGCCAATGAGCAATCTCCAAATTAAGTCCATTCGCAGGACATAATTAAGTTATGGAGTACTTTAGTGGCCAAACATCCCCCTGGCCAGTACCTCCTGATAGGCTGCAGAATATTCAGAATGGTTCCAGGGCTCCCCTAAGCTTCTGAAGCACAGGGCCCCCACATCAGGAGGTAAAGATGTCAGCAGGAAAATAGGGCAGAAGACTACTGTGCTTGGCAAAGGCTCTGAAGGCCATTTTTCACTAACTTTGCCACTGTGATCTGGAGGGTCACATTTTACATCAGTAATCCCACTTGTGAAAGGGCAAGAAAACCTACTAAAAGACTGTTATTAGAAAGAGACTTAAGATACAGTAAATTGCGCCTACAAAGATTCCTTCTGTGTCCCTAAGAAATTAATGTATTTTCAAATATCTTCTAAAATGAAAGTAATATCTAACCTGAAACACCAGGTAGAAACAAAGAAGCCAAATGGTGTCTAATGTAGATTTGGTGAATCACTGCACAGTAGTGTGTCTTATGGACTGCATCACTGTAGGACTCGCATCAGTTGCAAGCAGAATTTCAGCCATTCACACACTACTGTATTCCCTTTATGCCAGGAAGAATTTGGTCTCAGGCTTAGCTGAAAAATCACATTTGTGAGTCCAGCCACAGCCAAGTATCTCACAGGAAACATCAAACTTAATAACAGCATTATCTAAAGCACTTGGAAGGTTCAAGAGCCTTAACTCCCACTAACATTCATTGAGGTTTGTACTGCTAAATCAGTAGGATGGGGATTCATTTCCCCTACTGTAACTATCTAAATCTTGGACAGTAAATTAAATTAAGTCGCCTAGGCTCTCTTTGTTGTTAGAGGAAAAAGACAGCTACTTCCAGGGGATGATCTAATCCAAAAGAACTATTTAAGATGCACATCTCTAGAAAGGATTTTGTCCTTTACCGTCTCTCTCCATGCTCTAGAGAGGGTGTCCAAACAGTCAGTTTAGAGCAAATGCCTGACCTTGGGATGGAGAGAGTTCAAAGGGATTAACTGGCCCCTGAGTCCTTGCTGAGGTCCTGCCTCTCCTTTGCACTGTATGGATTCCAGGCAACATTTTAACGTTATCAACGTTAAGAAATGCATCTCAAATGGCTCTTTTATCATCACATTGTATCACTCACATCTTCCCAAAATCTTCCAAGCATCAACAAAAATTTTTCAACTTTCAGATAAAAATCTATGAAGACAAGCAAAACAGGAAGGAAAGCGTGAACAAGAACTGCAAATGAGCGAAACCATCCCTGACAGAGCACAGCAGAGGGGAAAGAATTGATTATGCAGTATCAGGATCACAAATCCATATCTGACACCCTTGATACGAAAAAATAATACACTTCTTCATGTTACCTGGACTAATCCAGAAGAGACAGATTCTCTCACATTAGTCTACTTATCTTCTCTTTCAAATACCTACTTATCTTCCTTTTCATCCCAGTCCAGACCCTACAGTTTGGGGAAACCACAGCCTGGGGTGGGAGGTGCAGCCCCAGCCCCTCTATCTCATCACCATCCTTCTTGCAGGGTAGACTGAGCTACTCAGTCAGCATGTGCAACTTGGGTTCAGTTTGACACTCCCATCTGCCATTTTGTTTTTCCTCCCTCTCCACAGGGTATTTTACCAGACCGAGAGGAATCCCTTAGAAACAGACAGAGAAACAATGAGCAACAAGCCCATCCCTAAGCTGCAAGGAAGATGCATGCACATCCCCATCAAGATGACAAGTCCCAGGTGTCTCTGGCTCAAGGTACGGCTCTGTTACACCCCAGGCACATCAGCTCATCCCTTTCTGTGCTGCAATTGCTGGCACATATCCACCAGCCTCTTGACTCTTCCAGTGTCTCATTAACTGAACAGCAGCCAGTAGGCGCAGTGTCCTCCAGGATCAGCCATGTAGGAACGGCTGACAGAAAGACAGGGGTCATTTCAGAACCATCTACGTGACTCAAGCACCTAAATTTGGTTTCAAAAATGACTTAACAGTTTAATTATTGCATAAATTCAGAGCCCTGTCTAGGAATAGTACAATGACTAAACTGAAACTAATTGCTGCCACCACCATGAGGTGGTACAGCCACCTTGTGTCATTGATACTGTCTGCCAACCCCACATAATGCTGGGATGGTTCCTGTCACCAGTCACACTAGTCATTTCAGGAGCTTCCTAGTCCTTTAATTTTATATTTGATCTTAAGCATAGCCTAATTCTATTATTATTCCTCAAATTATTATTATTTCAAAAACAACTTCTGTCAGGGCAGCCTCTGTGGACATCCTTTTGGACATCCAAACTCAGGCTATTGGTTATAAACTAAAATCTCAGGATTTGGGAGCATGTCTTTCCATTGTTTTTCACTTGCCTTGACAAACACTTTAACATTAAGTGGAGGTCACAATCATTTTCTGAAACCTGAATTTCTGAAACTCTTACAACCTGATCTTGCAATTCTTTGATGCAGACGAAGCTCCCCAGTGAGATCAACAGAAACTTTGCCCATGGACAAACTGCCTAATAAGACCTTAATATGCATTCATTAACACAAACAGGGTTAAACTAACCCATTTGAAAGCATTCTTACTCCTCCTCTCCACACTTGGGAACTGGTGCAAAAGTGCAGAATAAAACTATTAAATTTTAAAACAGCTGTTAATAAAATATTGAGGAAACAATTTTACCATTCAGCGGTCAGAGGATGGAAGATTCAAAACTCACTTTGTAGCTCCAGGTCAGCAAGGCTGCTTACACAAGATGCAAGTCTGCCCCACGTGTACCTCCTACAAAACCACAGCCGTGGACCTGTGTAGCTGTAGCCTTCCCAGAAGGAAGACACAGCTCTCCCTATCTCTGACCCTGCAACAGCACTGATCTTAGCAGGGCTAGCTGCAATGAGAGCCACTCCCTCTGAGGATGGAGCCTTGGGGTGGGCTGGCAGCACACTCCAGAGACACAGCTTGCTACCCAGGAGGTGGCACGGTGTCACTCCTTCAGCTCCAGCCCAACAAAGCCCATCCACATCTGGCGCAGAGATGAAATTCCAGCTGCACTATGGGCCAGCCCCTGGAGGTTGCAAACAGGAGGCTGCATCAGCAGCAGTGAAAAGTCAGTTGGCATCAGCTGATCTTTGGCTTTATACCACTGAGATCATGATTCTGCTGATTTCTGCTATCTCTTTGCCATCAGACATCATTTTCTTCCACAGATCTCAGCCCTGCTATTATTAATGCACTGAATACATGCAAATAAGGGCAGTGGTTCTGAATGAATTGTTCCCTATCTGATAGGATAAGTTCTGAAAGCATCCTGTTGATGCCAAGAGAGACAAAAAGTGGAAAGGACAAGGAGTTAGTGTTCAATAAGAAGGCTGTGGGAAGACGTGTAATAGTTATTATAGTGGGGGAAACTCCCTCCACAAGAGTTAACAACGGCTGTGTGATCTGTAAATCCATAAATAAAACCCATAAATAAAAAGATCAGTTCTTGAAATACTTCTGGAGACAGTCCAGAAGGAAGCATGGACCATGCTTGTCACTATTAAGCTTGCAATTGAAAATGACTTTGGATAACTATCAAGCTCCTTACATCTTTTATAAGAGCTAGGTTTCAGAAGACTGGTGGTTTTTCTGCTGCAGACCTATGGCAAGGCAAGGCAGGGAGCTGGGAAGGCTGTATTGATTGATTCCCTGCACTTCACCATTAAGCATACATCTTCTCACACGACTCTTTAGACAAAAATATTTTCAAAAGGAAACATTCATGACAAGAAATCAAATCAAGAGGCAAGATAACAGGGAGTAACCCTCCATACATCACAGTCCCAAGATTACTGCTCAATAAATACAAAATCAAAGGCAAAGCTTTAAGTTCCTACTCATTTCTAATTTAGGTAAGACTCTCCCTGAACTATCATAAAAACTTTTGAAATTGACCTGCAAATAATATTAGGTTGCCTGGCACCTCCCTCCCACCCCCAAATATGAGGCACACGGAGCACATCTGGGGCCACACATCCTTTCTCCCCCTGGCTCCAGCCTAGACAGGAAATGGTACAGATCAGATAGGAGTGCTGGCTGAGCCCCACTCAGGCGTGGGCGATGCTCTAAGTCCAGACACAGACATCTCAGGATCAAGGGCTTTGTCTGCTTGACAAACATCTGCCCCAGAGCAGAGCGGATGCGGTACTGCTATCCATCTAATCTTACAGTCCTGCTCCCAGGTTGGAGGAGACAGAAACGAGGTTCATGTTAATAACACAGATGAGCAGAAAAATCAAAATTTTTCTCACGTTCCTCAGTCCAAAGCACGTAAAAGCTTTTTGACTGAGCATAAGATTTTAATAAGCATCAGCAAAAAAGGAAATTATAGCCTTTCTGCCAAAGAACACAAATTTTTCACATAAGTATTGTTCCTGATTCACATTCCTTCGTTCACCAAAATAAAACCATTAAAAGTATTTAATACAAAACACAGTATATTTTTCAGTCATCATTATTCAAGTACTATCTAGTCCTTTGCTCATCACT